TGTTGGTTCGGATGACCGGGAGCGCGGGATCTTGCCCGTGTTCATCGCGTACCTCCGATCGTCTCATCTCGCTACCGACCTTCCCCATCACAAATGACGACAGCGTCTACTGCGATGCGGACGTACGACGCGCGCTGAGGCGGACGGAGCAAGTGTGTTGGCAAGACCCKCCTCGGGCTTGTGATATAAGGGGAAACGGGTTTGTCTTGATTGATCGTTTTGATTCCTCGACTCTAATATTGCCCTATACAGGATTAACTGTGTTGCCCTGGTCGGCCGCACACGGCACGTGGCGGCAGCGGTTTGATTGTCACTGGTGTCGCCAGGGGGACTTGTGTTCTTGGTGACGCTTGGTCCTGGGTTAGGAGGGAGCGACACGTTTCCCCGAGCTCTCCCGTAATGCGGGGGCGCTGCCCGCGCAATTTCGAATTCGGATGCCGGCGAGTCCTCCCGCCGTTTCACCCTCTCGGAAACATCCGCGCGGACTTTGCGAGTCCGACGCCGAGGCTTGAAGACCTCGAACCAACCACCTCTACAGCAAAAGCCCGATGGTCCGGTCACTTCGTGAGGCCGATGACGAGGCCGGACGGCTTCGAACCCACCATCTATCCGCCAAACCCCTGACGACCGGAATTTCTGTCTTCCGCCGCCATGGCCCTCTCCCCTTGATGCCTTTTTCCGTCCTGGTGCACGATGACAATTCGTTTTTGCGGAAACCCTTCTGATTTTATCGTTTCGGAGTGATCCGACCCCCACGGGACTTCGCGACGACAGTTCGACTCTGGGGTAACCTCTGGCACGAAACGAGAGCCTCCCGTTCCGTTCGGGAGACTCAACCCCTACGGCCAAAAATCCTCGGCCACGCCCCTCTTAGAACTCTGATCGGCGACCCCGTACGGGAAGCTGCGAGGGAGCGTGAGGTTGCGTATCACGTCTGCTCATACCAGCACGCCTCGCAACCCCGGGGTGTTAATAAAAAAAAAAAAAAAAAAAAAAAAAAAAAAAAAAAAAAGAGAGAGTCCCGTTCCCTTGACATGTTTGGGTCTACGGAGGTGGTATCATTCATGGACAGTCATGGCCTTTTTCTTTTTTCTTTTTTTTTCTGTTTTTTTTCCCCTTCTTCCACTGGTACCTTTCCCGCGTGGGAAAATAGGGAAAACTGGCAGTTTTCCCAAACGCCTGAATTTTCGGAGGCCGGGCCCGACGACGACTGCCATTGATAAATCTGATCGGTGGCCGTCACTTCGTTTCGGCCTCTGAAAAGGTCGGACGCCTACCCGGGGCCCGCTATTTTCCCAAGCGGCAAAGGTACTAGTGGTTAAAAGACAAAAGCTCCAATCTATTTGAGGGGAGCATCACCTGCTTAATGGCAGTATCACTACCAAAAACCACAATTCCTACACTCTCATTTTCTAGATTCGGTGCCATTCCTTTAACACCACTGGAAAATCCGACCATTTCTCCAGCTTGAATCTTGTTCAATCCAGAAACAGGTGCAATTCCATCTCCTACCGTCTCCTACCGAAACCACTGGACCGATTTCATCCACTTGTAATTTGGTGTAATAATTTGTAATTCTTTGTTCTAATAAAGTAGATAGTTCCACATGGCCTTGACATTGCAGGCCACAGTTTGTCCATCGACGACAAATCTTAGACCATTGCCTCCCTGCATTCTTGTTGCTCTCTCCAGCCAAGTAAACCTCCCCATCCTTCAGCCCTTCCCACATCCTGGGGGGGTCTATCAGGTATATGATGGGGTCTACTCATGCATGGCTTAGCTCTAGGCTAGGGTAGGGATATAAGTTGCTCTGGCTAGTCTGAGTTCTGCCTACCTTCTTCCCCCAATACAACGTACGGTCGTTATAGCTGTATCTAGACTGAAAGATGCGTCAAATACAGCTATAATGACCGTACGTTGTATTCGGGGGAAGAAGGTAGCCTTGGGTAAGTTAGGGGAAGGACCGTGGGATGTGTCCGTGGGCCCTGGCTTGCCTTGCTTAGGTACTCCTGCTGGGTAGACTGTCAGAATTGGGCCTGTAGAAGATTGCATGAGCCTGGTGCCCGAACTGGTAGGGCCATGGTCCTGAGTGCTGGTCCCACTGAGGTAGGATAGGAGGGACAGGGCGTGCGCTGGGGATCGGTAGGGTAGGTGGCCTATCCTGTCAGGACAACCATTGACTGCCGCTGCCAGCAATCACCGAGGATCAGGTCCTTGGCCTCCACAACACCCTGGGCTTATAAAAAATAAAAAGGAAAAAAAACTAGTGGCAGGCCACCTTACTATGTTTAAGATTTCAATTTAAATTCGAAATTGGGAATCTTAGGGGCCTGCGCGAACGGCGTATCGGACCAGTTGCAGAGACACGCACGAATACACATAGGGCGACCAGGCGGGAGAGAGAGCACGCAGCTAGCAGGTCTCTTGTGTGTGTGTGTGTGTGTGTGTGTGTGTGTGTGTGAGAGAGAGAGAGAGAGAGAGAGAGAGAGAGAGAGAGAGAGAGAGAGAGCTGGACTTAGGTGGATAGATACGGAAGGCAGATAGAGGCAAAATAAAAAAAAACAGGCAGAGAGGACGAGGGACAGAGGACAGAGAGAGACAGACCATTAGAGAGAGAGAGAGAGAGAGAGAGAGAGAGAGAGAGAGAGAGAGAGAGAGATGGACTTAGGTGGATATATACGGAAGGCAGATAGAGGCAAAATGGAAAAAAACAGGATTAAGTAGATAGATACGAAGGCAGAGAGCACGAGGGACAGAGGACAGAGAGAGACAGACCATTTCGCAGAGTCCTGGCAATTTTTTTCCCGTAATGATGATAACTTAATAAGTATAGCTGTTTT